TATATATATATATATATAATATTTTAATATTTGTTATATAACAAAGTTTATTATAATTAATTTATTATATATATAATATTTTAATATTTGTTATATAACAAAATTTATTATAATTAATTTATTATATATATATATAATATTTACAATCTATGGACACAAACATAATAAGAATAAGAATTTATAATATTAATTTACATACGAGATTATGATATTTCTCCTTGCCATTTTACAGTCAAGTTGTTTTTTTTTGTTTTTTTTTTTTTGTTTTTTTTTCTTCTCGTTTTTTTCGTTTTGTGTAGAGAGTTAAACACGTAGCTAACTCTCACGTGTTCGTACTATGTATCCCAATGCAAAAATATATCTATAATAATATACTAAACATTGTAACATATTTTTTGTCTTTTTTTTTTTCATTTGGTTTTTCTTTTTTTTTTGTTTGTCGTTACAATAATTATTTTTGATCTAATAATAGATAAACCAGATTTTTATATAATGACGTAACAATTATAGGAATAGTATAGGAATATTGTTAAATAGTATTGGAATTTCTAGCACTTGAATGCGCAATCTGGTGGCTAAATTCACAATTAGAGTAGATAAGTCGAATTTTGCTACGCCACGTGGGATATCTAGCATTTGAATACGCTATCTGGTGCCTAAATTCTAAATTAGAGTAGATAGGTCGAATTGCTAAGCCACGCCCCTGCCAGAGATCCCAATATTATTTTTGTTTTCATTTTTTTCTTTAATTATTTATATTTTTAATAGTGTGTATCATATTGTTAATCAACTAGGAGAATAAATATTTCTCAAATTTTTTTTCTTCTTCTTCTTTTTCTTCTTCTTCTTTTAACAAAGACTTTGTCAAGTTATTTTTAAATAAATAGGCTAAAGAGACTATTTGTTGTTTATGGTTGATTATTTTGTTAGTTTTGAATATGGAGGTTAGAGGTAAGGAGTAACATCTCTTATGGGAGAAAATGTGAAAAAGTGTCCAGCTGTATGCTATTAATAACAGTTCAAAAACCTTCCAGAATGGCGCTGGTGTAGACAAAGGGTATAGTATCAATGTAGCAATTGTAAACGAATTGAAGTATGCCGAGTTAAAAAATTGAATATTCTTGGCGACTAAAGTAGTTAATTATTGAAAGTTTCAATTACTTGCGTAGTACAAAATAATGTAGTAAATATAACCTTAAAGAATTATTATGAGAAAACGTGTTAGCTAGAGTGATTTTATTTCGTGAACTGTGAATAATTACGTTTATTGATTTTTTATCATTTAATTTTATGAAAAAGTCAGTGAATAACAAAACAGTTATGGGTAAAATRTTGTGTCGTGAAATTTGTGTTCCTTGTTTATTTCTCAATCCTACTCTAATAATATTTGACGTTTCCTTTAAAATTTACCCTGAAGCTACTGTGGCGCCACCCTAATTTAATGCATTTTGACGGACACTTTTTCATATAGAGAGATGTTACTCCTTACCTCTACCCTCAAATAGTTTTGAAACTATTTGTTGTTTCTGGTTAACTATTTGGTTAGTTCTGAGACTATTATTTGTGTCTGATTGACTATTTGATTAGTTCTGAGACTATTATTTGTGTCTGATTGACTATTTGGTTAGTTCTGAGACTATTTGTTGTTTCTGGTTGATTATTTTCTTAGTTAATTAACTATTTGTTGTTTTTGATTGACTATTTTTTTCGTTCTGGGTAAGATTATTTTTTTTTTTTTACCGAAGTTAGCAACCTAACCTCACTCTCAAACCCTTCCCATTTTTCTAAAGCTTGGGACATGAAATTTTGTCTTAATAATAAAATCATTTTCATTAGTATCGTTAAATTATATTAATATTATTATAAATATTATATTTTTTTATTGAAATTAACTCATTCCATCCTTAAAACGTGAAAATGGAAGTGGATAGCATCCCCTTTTTCGTACAATGTGAAAAAACACGATCACAATACAGCACATTTTTATTATTATTGTTTGTAATTAATTTTACAACATACTGTAAATATAAATCAATGTTATTATTGCACAAATGTATTATATTTTTGTTATAAAAAAGCAAAAAAAGGTTAGTGAAATTAACTCGTATTAGGGAAAATTTTTTGGGGAAGAAATATTAAAATGAACATTATTTTTCTAAGAAAAATTGTGAATCTTACAAAAAAAAAAAACAACAACAACAACAAAATAAAACGATTAGAACTTACCAGCCTGAAAATTCCAGAATTTTAATTATTCCGATCACAAAATTCTCTCAACACACAACATACACACGTTTATACACGTGACTTGATTGTACAAATAAATGCGTAATAATTCAAATTATAACGAATAATTAATTACGATTCATGGAAATACAAGATAACGTAATTTTTTTTGTTTTCTTACCACAAATTCTAATAATATTTTATTTTTATTAGAATAACATGATAATATAACATGTTAAAAAAATTAAATTTTGTACACATATTATACAATCGATGTAACATTTGACACAAATATTCATAATACAACGATATAAAATCTAACAAGAAAATTTTACGATCGGTAAAATCTTGTGAAATTTAATGATTGCTATCAATAAATTTACAGATAGATGATTATCTAAACTATACCCTGTAATAAAAATTATGTAAAAAATGCAAAATGATTGAATAACCAACATAAATTTAATTATTAAATTAAATAGTTAAATTCATTAAATTAGTTAAATTAAATTAAATTAAATTAAAATTATTAAAATTTAATTAATTCAATAAGTTAACACAAAATTGATTAAATTAAATTAAATTATTAAATTATTAAAATTAAATTAATTAAATTAGTTAAATTAAATTAAATTAAATTGGTTGACACAAAATTCGGTAAATTAAATTAAATTAATTCAATATGTTAACACAAAATTGGTTAAATTAAATTAAATTAATTAAATTCGTAAAATTAAATTAAATTAAATTATTATAATTAAATTTATTAAATGAGTTAACACAAAATTGGTTAAATTAAATTAAATTTAAATTATTCAAATTAAATTAATTAAATTAGTTGACATAAGTCTCTGCAAAATTTATAATATTATTCTGTAATATAAATATGTATATATATATATATAAATTTTTTATTACAACGTATTTTTAAAAAAATATATATAAATACTTACATACATATTTATTCAATATATTGCAAAATACATATATAGATATATATACATACATATGAAATATATATAAAATATAGGTTGACGTAAGTATGATGTATATATGTATATATATGTATAGTATACGTAGTATAAGATTTAAATGAAAGAAAAACATTGAAAACATAAAATATAGCTCTCTGTATGTACACGTTGTCCACTGAAACGACCAATCGTTGGCATGACGAAAAGAAAGCCGACTTCTTACATAATAAAATACTCTCGCTTGCTCTTTTTAAAACTGTTCACCATCTGCAGCTAAAAAGTAAATCGTGTTGTAAGTGTAAAACTTACAAGATCGATATACTTTATTCCAAATACTTTGACCTAAATACATTAATATGATACATTTATAAATAAATATTAATAACAAACAACAACAAATATTTGTATACTTTTTCGAAATTATTAATTTAAAATAATATATGTGCCCATAATTATGAAATATTTATAAAAATAGTGAAAAATACCACTATTTAAAAAAATTATCATAAAGAAGTTTATCAAACCCTTTAAAAAGGGGTAGTATAATATAATCAGTATAATATATATATATATATATTTAATTATTTAACAATCTTTTACAATTAAACTTATGTTCAATGTAAAAAAAAATAGGAAAATAATATATTTGTGTTTTATTTTGTTGTGTTGCAGTGAAGATAATACTACGGACGGTGGTGGGGGTATAATAAACCCAAATTTTACAATGGAAATTATACCAAACAACGCAGAAAGTAATGTTGATTTAACAATGGTAACAACGAGTGTTCCATTATCAACGCCAGGATTAAATAATCCTGCTTGGAATCGACAACAAGCAGTTAGCGTTAGACATGCTTTCAAAACTTATGGCAGTAATAAAAATCCAAATCATGTTTTACAAAATCTTAGTATGACGGTATCCAAAGGATCCATGTAAGTATTACATATTCATTTTTTTTTTTTATTATTATATATTTCTCTTATATTAATTATATAATTAATTTTATAATTTTTATATTTTAATATACATAAATTACGTGTCACGTTGTTTGTCCGCAATGGATTCTTAAACTACGGAACCGATTTTAATCAAATTTTGCATACTGTGTGCAATTTCATCCAACTTGAAAGATAGGATAGTTTATATTTCAATTTATATCTTCTTAATATATATAAATTACGTGTCACTTTGTTTGTCCGCAATGGACTTCTAAACTACTGAACCGATTTTAATCAAATTTTGCATACTGTGTGCAATTTCATCCAACTTGAAAGATTGGATAATTTATATCTCAATTTATAATCGCAATATTATTTTATTAATCACGAATTATTTATTTATTAACAAAGAGTCATGATTAGCTCTGTTAGTTCGATAAGATTCTAAGAGATGGCGGTATAAGGTAATTCGTTAACTTAAAAACGTGTGTATCGGACTGATTATGATCCACAGCAACGTATATATATATATATATATTAATTATATAATTAATTTTTATCAATTAAAATGAACAATATTTGAATTAATTAACACATCATTTAAATCAAACCTTAATTTTAAAATAGAAAAATCAAAGAATTACACTAACAAATAACTAAATGAGATTAGAAAAAAAACCAATCGATATAAAATATGAATTAATACTAAATAAAATTTTGTTTTTTGTGTTAACCTTTTTTTTATAAAAAGATCGTAAATTTGTGTATAATTATAACTTATGGTTAGTTTATCGCTATAATTAACGTTAACTCATAATAAAATTAAATCATAAGTATCGAAAGTTTTGCATAGAAAAAATAATTACTGAACTGTAACGATGTTTCATTTTATTATTATTATTTTCTTTTTTTTTTTCTAATAAAAATTATTCGCGTATTACCTGTTACTACTTTTTTCGCGGGAATATTCAAATCGGAAATTATTCTCCCTTTTTTTTTTTTTTCTTTTTTCTTTTTCTTTGATATCATTAAAATTTCTAACAACGATCTCGATCAATTTCCAAGTAATTCGTTGAATCATTAATAAGTTATTTATTATTATTCCAAACGACGGGTTTGAAAAAAAAAGAAAAGAAAAATAAGAAGAAACAAATTATAATGTTTGACTCGACTTATATAAATGACGTCACTCTTTAACTAGAATCCTATTACATTCATTATATTTCATTTGTCCTTCTTTTTATGTTGACAACAATCTACATTATAGATTGACAAAAGGAAATGATAAATAATCTTACAAATTAGTTAATCAAAAACGGAAATTCATTTTTTGTTTTTCTTTTCTTTTCTTTTCTTCTCTTCATATTTCTATTTGACATAATAAAATATCTTTCGTGTATTCTTATCAAACACGTACGAGAAAATGTACAGTAATTGGTATTATTTTATAATGAATAATAATAATAATAAAAAGAAACTATCTTTTTTGTTTTGTTTTTTAAAGTATAGTTGACAATTAGTTTTTCGTTTGAATTCGTTTGAAAATGTGAAATTTGTTGAGGTTATGCCTCAAAATAGATAACCCCTAGTGTTATCTAAAAAATTTTTCAATATTATATTATATTCACATTGAAATAAAATGTAAATAATATTTATTATGGTTGGATATTTAGAAAAAATATCCAACTAAATAGAAAACTATACTTTATTATATGAAATAAATATTAAATAGAAATTAAATAAAAATTAAATAGAAATTATTGGATAAACATTCGAATCTTATATTAGTATAAACACTTATCTTTCATTTTACCATTTAACGATTATCATATTTCTTATGTTTTCGTTTTATAAACAAAAATTTAATATTAAAAACACGTAACTAGAAAACGATTGATTTCATTAAGATTTCGTTGGAAATTGTTTTACAAAATTTTATTAAGTTTTTATTATAATACAAATTATAATAAAAACTATTTTAAATAGTTAAAATTACAATTTTAATTTAAATAAAATTAAAAATATTAATTTGAATATTTAAATATTATTTTTTTGTTATAATTTCATTAAGTAGAAAAATTATTATTTTTTTTTTTAAGAAAGAAAACAAAAAATTAATTAACAAATATATACGAGAAATGAAATATTAACGAATTGTACGATAATTAAATTTCCTAACCTCTAAATTTTGACAAAACGAATTCGAAATAGATCGAATAATTAATAAAAACTATTTAACCATTAATAATCCAAATAAAATTAACAAAATATATATATATAATACATAAAAATCTATTCTTAGAATATTATAAAATAAACATCTTTAATAATATCCTCCTTAATTTTGATAAGAAATGAAAACGCAAACGTAAACGAAATAAAATGAAACCTGTCTGAGCCAGGTATAAACACATACAAACACACACACACACACACAAAAATAGATAAAAATCTCTCAGATTTCGCGAGAAGTATTACAAAATGTGTTTTGGTTGCAAAAAATAGAAATGAAAAAAAAAAGGTAAAAAAAAACAACTCTTAATGTATCTTTCTTTTCTTTTTCTTGATAGATACGGTCTACTAGGTGCCAGTGGTTGCGGCAAAACAACATTATTATCATGCATAGTTGGACAAAGACGTTTAAATTCTGGCGAGATTTGGGTATTAGGTGGTAAACCTGGTACCAAAGGTTCCGGTGTACCTGGTAAAAGAGTTGGTTATATGCCACAAGAGATAGCACTTTATGGTGAATTTACAATACGCGAAACTATGTTGTACTTTGGTTGGATATTTGGCATGGAAACTGGTGAAATAGTCGAAAGGTTAAGATTTTTATTACAATTTTTGGATTTACCATCGCAAAATCGACTCGTCAAAAATCTCAGGTAAAATAAAAAAAAAAAAGACAATAATAATTATTATTATGCTAAATATTCTGACGTGTTATTTCTTTTATTTAATTATTTATACAAAAAAAATTTGTTTGCATTTCCTTTTTTTTTAGCGGTGGTCAACAAAGACGAGTTTCATTTGCAGTGGCTTTGATGCACGATCCTGAACTTTTAATACTCGACGAACCAACCGTGGGTGTTGATCCATTGCTCAGACAAAGGTAAGTTTATTGCATTTCATTATTTTTTTTTTTTTTCCCCCATAAATTTTTCTTATTTCTTTATCTTTAACACATTAAGCGCCATGTCAGTCATTGGTGACTGACAGTAGACTATTCGTTTAGGCCACGTCAGTCACCACTGACTGACAGTGTATGATATAACACATCTAAGTGGCACACGTGGCCTGACAAGGAATTCTTTGAGAATGAACGTGGCCTGACAGAGAAATCCTTGAAAATAAACGTGGAGCGCAACGTGTTAATATAAATATTATACTTATATGACTGTATTATATCCTAAATAATATATAAAAGTGTTAAAGTGTTATCATTTGGTATCCTTCTCTTTGTAAACATAAATGCATAATAGATAAATAGATAAAGGATAAAAAGAATAATTTTCTCGAAAATGTTCATAATTGCATTACAATTGATTATTGACGAGTAAAGATTATTGACGACATTACAAGCTAGTAGAATACTTCTGTTATATTGTATTTGTTGTTTCGTATTTTTTTTTGAGATGATATTACTAATGTAAGTATCATGGGTCAAGGTCCGAGAGAGAGAGAGAGAGAGAGAGACAGACAGAGAGACAAAGAGAGAAGATGACGATTAATTTACTCTAAAGACGTTTGAAAAAAAAAAAGTCTACACACTCGAAAGATTGTTTAAATAATATAGGAGTGTATATTGTCGTTGTCATCGTCATAGTCTTTCTATAGTCTTTAATCTTTATCGTCGTCAAGTTTCATACAGGAAATATTCAATGTTAAATTACTTAAGATAATCATTAAAATTATTATAAACTAATAGTATAAATATAGATTATATACTATTTTGTAATCTATATTATTATTCTTCTTAACACTTTTTTTCTGTTTTTTGTTTTTTGTTTTATTGCAATAAAATATAAGAAATAATATTTGCTAATAAAAATAAATTTAACAAAAACGATATATAGATATATATATAT